CATGTTCTCTCCAGCGAAGTTCTTCTGGCTCTCGGTTCTGTGTAGGTTCTATCTTCTAGGTTCTGTCTTCTATGTTCTGTCTTCTAAGTTCTGTGTCCTAAGTTCTGTGTCCTGTTGTCTTGTTGCATCTGTATTTATTCCAGTTGATTCTAATCCTATCAATCTCTATTCCAAAGGTTAGGGCGTTTCTTATCTCCATTCCAGGGAGTAAAGAAAAGCATGATTGTTCGTAGAAAGTGATTAATTACCCGCCTGGCACTTAGTTAAGAGGTTTTATTCCCTCCCTAACTTCAGGGGAAAATCCCTACCTGGGGAAAAAACCTTTCTCAGAGAGGTGACCTTGGTTAAAACACAGTGCCAAGAAGGTGAGCAAACATATTAAGAACAGTATGCCATATATGCCAGGTCCCTTGAAACAGCAAGGATAGACCAGCTCCCGGCAATCACCCTACTATCTGTGCCCATGGACAATGCATATATACATATAAATTCTTTGGTTAATTGCTTCCTTCCCACTCTCCCCCCTTCCCTCTGAGATTCATCAGTCTGTTCCATGTTTTCATACCTCTGGTCCTATTTTATTGTGCTCGTTAGATTCCACATATAGGTGAGATCATGTGATATTTGTCTTTGACTAGCTTTTTTGCTTAGACAATCATCTCCAGATCCATCCATCTTATCTCAAATGGTAAGAGGGCCTTCTTCTTTACAGCTGTATAATATTCCATGTGTAAATGCACAACTTTTTTTTTTTAGATCTATTCATCTAAATGTATTGGGGTAACATTGGTTAATAATATTACATAAATTTCAGTGTCTATATACTCAATGGTGCGCTCACCACCCAAAATCTAGTTTACTTCTGTTACTATATATTTGAAGCATTTATTTCTTTAAACATCTTTTTGGTCCATACTTTAAAAAAGTTATTAGCCCTAGCTGGTTTGGCTCAGTTTGTAGAGCGTTGGCCTGCAGACTGAAAGGTCCCAGGTTCGATTCCAGCCAAGGGCACATGCATGTGTTGTAGGCTCGATCCTCAATAGGGGGCATGCAGGAGGCAGCCAATCAATGATTCTCTCTCATCACTGATGTTTCTATCTCTCTCTCCCTCTCCTTTCCTCTCTGAAATTAATAAAAACATTTTAAATAAAGTAAGTAATGGTCAGGAATCAAAGTAGGAATATAGTTTCATTTTACAACATAATTTAAGGGCTAATGCTGAAACTGACTCTTCTCAGAGAGTTTTAATTAGGGCAGTTGGGGTATGATAGAAAACAATCTTTGAGTTTCCACTTATTCAGCACCCATGGTAGGTGCTTTACCTATATACTATCTTGCTTTAATTTTCATGACTATATTATGAAGTTTAGATGGTATTAGTTTTCATTTATATATGGGAAAACCAAGACTCAGAGAGATGAAGTAATTTGTAACGGCTTTAAGCACTTGAAATAATATTTATATGTAATTGATATAGTCACCAGTAATTATCACAGTATAATTTTTTTCTTTAAGAATATGTATAATTTGTTAAGTGTGATAGACCAGCTTTGCATATATAGGGCTTCTTAATAATATAAGAACATATAGGGATTATTAAACTTTCAGGGCACTCCCTTCCCCCTTGAAAATAACTTTCTGTGATTATTTAATAGATACCATTGTAAAGAGTTCAAATAATACATCCTATCTAATCAAAGAGAAACATGGTAATTGGCATACAACCGCTACCCTTCCCATTGGCTAATCAGGGAGATATGCAAATTAATTGCCAGCCAAGATGGCGACCAGCAGCCAGGCAGCTTGAAACTAAAATGAGGCTTGCTTGCTTCAGTGAGGAGGATTCCAACGTTCCCCGCCTGCTGCTGCCGCCTCTGAGCCTGCAGTTTGAAACATTTTAACAAATACAGAAGCTAAACAAAACCCCAGAAACCTGCTTTCAGCTGGCCGGGATCTCAGAGCTGGAGTTATACATTGTTTCGATTATAGAACACAAACACCAGATACCTGCTTTCAGCAGCAGAGGCCTCAGAGCTGGAGCCAGAGCTAAAGCTGGCCAGAATTAAAAAAAAGAAAAAAAGAAGCGGTTGGGAGCTTAAGTCACCCGTCAGCCTGAAAACAGCCCTCAGCCCCTCACCCAGACTGGCCAGGCACCCCAGTGGGGACCCCCACCCTGAAGGGTGTGTGACCAGCTGCAAACAGCCATCATCCCCTCACTCAGGCTGGCCAGGCCCCCCAGTGGGGACCCCCAATCTGATCCAGGACACCGTTCAGGGCAAACCAGCCAGCCCCACCCATGCACCAGGCCTCTATCCTATATAGTAAAAGGGTAATATGCCTCCCAGCACTGGGATCAGCAGAGCCCAGAGGCCTCCCGGCACCGGGATCAGTGTGACGGGGGCAGCGCCCAAACCCCCTGATCGCCCTGTGGCTCTGTGTGTGACAGGGGGCGGGGCCACAACCTCCCTATCCGCCCTGCTCTGTTCGTGACAGGGGGCGGTGCCCCAACCCCCCAATCGGCCCTACCCTGAGCATGACTGAGGGTGGCATCACAACCTCCTGATCTGCCCTGCTCTGTGCATGACAGGGGGCAGTGTCCCAACTCCCCAATCGGCCCTGCTCTGAGCCTGACCTAGGGATTGGGCCTGCCCTCTGCCACCCGGTAGCAGGCCTAAGCCAGCAGGGCGTTATCTCCCGAGGGGTCCCAGACTGCGAGAGGACACAGGCCGGGCTGAGGGACCCCCCCCCTTCCCCCCCGAGTGCACAAATTTTTGTGCACTGGGCCTCTAGTAAAAATATAAAGAAGACAATAAAGGTCACCTAAAATCTTACCACCTGTGTTGCAAAAAATAAGGGTCACCAAAATAGTTTTGTATTACATTATGCAAACTTACACACAATTTTATACATATAGGATTATATCACACAGGAGATATTTATAAGATACCATCTCTCTTACCCCCTTCCAGTTAGTATATACACCACCATCTTTACCATTCCAGGTAAGTCTTATTCACAGGCTAGCTTGTGTCCTATGTTTCTCTCCATACTTAAGAAATCTTTTAGTCATATATTTCTATTCAAACCTGTATATGCACTTAACATTGAATTTTAGTCACTATTAGTTACTATTAGTGAACATTTGAGTACTTTTAAGTGTAATGCTTTGTACTAGCTTTGGAGAGCTACAAAGGAGAGTAATGTGTGGCCTGTGTTCTCAATTACTTTATAACCTGTGAGGAGAGGTGAACAGGTAAATAGCTTGTATTATATAAGACTTGTTTTGATATCTGCTGTTGGGTAGAAATGTCGGGTAGAAACAACCTGGGAAGCCCTCAGGGGAACTCCCAGAGGACAGAGGCCTTGGCTTTTTTATTCTTGTGTGCATAAACCCTTGATAAATGTGATTATGCCCCGAGTCTGTAAATAAATATCTGTAAATAAAATCATGTGTTTTGTTCATATGCTTATTTCTGACTAGGTGGACCTGTTGGAGAGCAAGGACAGTGTTTTATTTATCTTTGTTGTAGAGTAAATGTCATATTGAGGACATGCAGGAAAAATTTGGATTAATGAATTAGTGGCTTCAAAATACACATGCCTTGTAACAAGTAATTATCTTGTTAAACTTGACTCTTGCTTGCAGTTCTTACAAGTTTCACCAACACAGTCATGATTGTTTTACCTCTCCACAAAATACGCATAAGTGGGTTTTTGGGGTAGGCCTCAGTTTGAATCCCAACTCTACTAACTTACCATGTGCTTTTTATAATTATTTAACAATAAAATCCACCCTTTTAAAGTGCACAGTTCAGTGTATCCATCACCACTATCGAATTCTAAAACATTCCATCACCTCAAAAAAGAAATCCCTTACCCATAGCCATACCTGTTAGCAATCACTCCCTAGTCCCTATTCCCACGCCTTTAGCAACTACTAACTCTATAACCAGTTTCTAATAATAATATGACCCTTTAGAAGTATGCTAAAAGGTATTAATTGATTTTTCTCCTTGTAGGAAAGAACACCAGAAAGGGATACTATGGGGCGAACAGCCGGTAGAGGTAAAATTTACTTACCTAAAAATGATAATATTGGTTTGTTATTCATTTGGAATGAATATCTTCTGGTAGACTGAACGTTTGTAAAATCCTTTTAAAAATAAAAGTTAAGCGAGATGTTAGGTGCTTAGAATTGGAATTTTAGAACTGAAGGGCTATTAACAATAATTTTGTTATCTCTTCTGAATTTTATAAATGAGAAAACTGACACTGAGGGAGGTTAAGTGAACAGGTCATACAACAATCTGTGACAATGCTAAAATCAGAATCTAAATCTTCTAACTCGAATATGAGAGATTAAAAAATACTTCATCCTGACTTACTCTAATGAGAAGGCTGCTCACTGTACTGTGAATATGCCACACTCATTTGCACTCTGTTTTGAGTTGTGCTTTCTTTTCCATAGTACATACTTCACACCTTTGCTATCCTAAATCCTGCTTTTCCTTCAAGACCCAGTTCAAGTTCTTTGTCTCCCATGACTTTTTCTCTGGCTGAATACTGAATGTTATCCTCTGCTGTTCACAATTTTATCAAGTGTATTAGTTTAGTGTAGTCTTTGTAACTAGATTTTAGCTTCTCTAGAGCAGGAATCATGCCTTTAGTTTTACTGTCTTATTAGAAAATCCTAAGGAGAACTATTTAGTAAATATAAATACGTACTTTCTTTTTACTAGCCAAATTATTTAAATAGAAAGCATTCCATCTACTTTATTCATGTCCTGAATCAAAGAGACACATTTAAAATAATTAAGACTATTGGGGAAATATGAACACTGACTTCTTATTTGATATTAATGAATTATGCTTAAATTTTCAGCATAATAATAATATGATAGAATTTTAAAATTATATATCTTTAAGACATATACTGTAATATATGTGGACAAAATAATATAATATCTTAGATTTGGTGAAGTCATAAGTTCCAGCACTGTTTGAACTCCTCAGTTTGTCACAAAACTCTGCCTAACCTATTGAATTATATTACATTCTAGTTTTCTTGTTATGTTTTCAGCTGTCAAAAATATCCACTTTATTTCTAGGGCACATTAATTTGAATATTGTAAGGATCAACTCAACTTGTTTTGGTTTATTTATTCATTCATTTTTCAAATCCTGAGGGTGTTATTGCATGCCAGGTCCTATTCTAGGCACTGAGACTATAGCAGTGAATAAAACAGACAAAATTAAATAAATCCCTGCACTTTTGGAGCTTACATTTGAGTGAGGCATAAAATGAAACAAAATAAATGAGCAAATTTTAAGGTATACAGCATGTGAGAAAATGAAGTCCTGTGCAAAAAATGAGAACATTAATTATAAAATTAAAACTGGTTCTTATCAGAAAATAGTTTTATAGTTTTTCTAAGTGTTCTTTCAGACTATTGCTATAGTCTTTAGGTATTGCTTACTATTTTATTTATTTATTTTTTAGATTCAATGAATGTGAAAAAGGAGAGTCAAGAGAAAACTTCTCAATCGGACACATCTACAAAAGGTGGTAGGTTTTAAAGTACTTCAGTGCAACATATTTTTTCCTCAGTCAGTGTTAATATGAACTCTTATTGCTTTTATATAGTCTCTGTACAGCAAACTCCTGTAAATATAAAATCTAAGTGATAAGAAAGGTCAGGAAATAATTTTTACTTTGAAAATTTTACTTTGGTTTTACTTAGAGATAAATTGGTATGGCATTACATAAAAAATAACCATGTATTTCAATGCAAATTTTGAAAAATTAAAGATACCTAGTTATTAATTACCATGTATTACCAATTTTAAAATAACTTGATTATGAATAAAAAAAACCTAACATTAGAATCAATGTGAAAGTCCGTTTTTGATGGTCAAAAGATAGTTGATAAAAGTAGGTAAAAGCTTAGGCATTGGTAGGTCAGACAGACCTCTTCTAGAAATCCTGGCCTCATCCTTTTTTTTGTTTTTAAATCCTCATCTGAGGATATGTTTTTATTGATTTTAGAGGGAGGAAGAGAGAGAGAGAGAAAGAGAGAAACATCGATTGATTGCCTCCTTATTGACCTGATTGGAGATTGAATTTGCAAGCGAGGTATGTGCCCTGACTGGGAATTGAACCCTCAACCTTTTGGTGTATGGGATGATGCTCCAATCAACTGAGCCACCGGGCCAGGGCTGGCCTCAGTCTTTATTGGCCTCGTGACATTGGGCAAATTACTCAACATTCTTTGTCTATTTTTTTTTTCAGTAGCACATGGATACTACTACTTATCTCATGGGGTTATTGGAATTTAAATTTAAAAAATGAATGTAAAGTACCTAGTATAATTCCTAGATATATTGTACATGTTCAGTAGATGTTAATTTTATTTATTAACACTCAATTGATTTCTTATTGTAAACAGCATGTGTATAGCACTGCACCAGAGACACTGGAAGTACATCTGACTTGTTGCACCTGCTCTTAAGGAAAATGAGAAAATAAGTCATATGAACACAAAAGGCTGAATAAAAAAATGACAAACTTATTATGAGATATTACCAGACAAACCTCTTGCCCTTTCCTTTGTCTTTCTGTTGGACCTGCCCTGCCAGCCCCACTCTTGTAGTACTTCATATATGGCTTTCTGTTCTCACAGGAAGGTTGCCTATAGAGGTAATCCCCATGGAATCATTCTCTCTCAATGCTGGGCCCCCAGTGCCTCCTTATTTTTTCCCATTGGCCTTATTTGTCCTTCAGCTCTTCTTTCCAACCTCTAAAACCCTCCAAGGAAATGGAGGCCATTAGGTTAGAATGTTCTTCATCCTTACAAATTCCATCTGTTGTTTAAATATAACAGTTTTGTTGAGATGTAACTTACATTGTTGAGATGTAAACAATTCGCCCATTTAAAGTATACAATTCAGTGGTTCTCAATATATTTACAGAGTTGTGTAACCATCATCACAATAAATTTTAGAACATTTTTATCACCCTACAAAGAAATTCTACACCCAGTTAGCAATCACTCCACATTTTCTCCTAATGTCTCTCCCCTCCCCAGCTCTAGGCAACCGCTTATCTACTTGTCTCTATAGATGTGGCTATTCTGAAAATTTCATAAAAATATATTTTTGAAGGTTGAAGCTAGTAACTTTTCAAAATTCGCAAACTTCTGATTTAAAAAATGAGATTACTTGATCAAATTGATAGACATCTGCAGATATTTTTATGGTCCTGATTTTAACATCTTATTTTAGAAATTTGGACAAATAATGGACTAGAATAGAGTACAAGTCAAACAAGATGGAACCATGGGTCCTGAGCTTAACATGTTGTTTTATAAATCAGTGAGTGACTGCTAGAAGTTAAGCTCTAAGAGAGCCAGAATTTTTGTCAGTTTTATTAATCACTATCTCCAGTACCTAGAACAGTGCCTGACACATACTGGCTACCTTTTATGGGAATCCAGTGATGAATGAAACAGACATGATTCCTGCCTTTTTTCAGTTTAGGAGGTTTGACTCCAGAGCCCATAATCTCAACATTTCTGCTGTATATTAAATAAACAACTTCAGTTGTGATAAGTGCTGTGAAATAGTGGTGCAGTGATCATTTTGCTGAGAAGCTTCTAGCTCCAGATATTTTGCCCATCTTTACTAGACTCTGAACCCCAGGCTCACACTAGAAGACATTATGATTCTGATTTACTCTGGAGAAGACCAGAGGGCTCACATAGATTATGTTCAGTTTGCCAAAAGGTATTTGGACAAATAATGAACTAGAATAGTTCAAGTCAAACAAGAAGGAACCATAGGCATGTGCAAATAATAATCAGAGCACAAAGTACTCTGAGCACAATGTACACCTGTCTCTTGAACAAACCTATCAGTTCCTAGGCTTCTTTTCTGAGAGAGAATCTACCCTCCCACCCTACCCTAGTTTGTCAATGAGGATAAGATGTAGAGGCAGACTGGGACCTCAGGCTTAGCTAAGACGTTCTGACTATTTTGGCTCCTGGTCAGGAATTCCAGCTGTGGTATTATAGATGTGTCAAATCTAAATTAAACTGATCAGGATATTTGAGTGACCTTAACGATACCCTACCCAGATACTCCCACCCCCAATTCATGTTTTGTTTTGTTCTTTAAAAAAATCCTCTCCAAGACCATATGTTGGTAGAGCTTCAGTTAGAATCTTGGGTCTCCTGATTGTTTAGTTAGTGTTTAGGAGGTCACTGAAATATCCTGGCCAGTTTAATTTTGGAGCCATGGATCTTAGTTTTCACTTATGCAAAAGCTATCTAGTATTAATAAATAAATGACAATATAGACATTTAATTTTATAATAACACTAGAGGCCTGGTGCACGAAAATTTGTGCAGGTGGGGTCCCTCAGCCTGGCCTGCACCCTCTCGCAACCTGGACCACTCGGGGGATGTCAGACTGCAGTTTCGGATCGGGTCAAAACTGGCAGTCCGACATCCCCTGAGGGATGTAGTAGTGTGCCAGGCCGCCGGGGAGGAGCCTGAGCCCAG